CCCCCACCCCCACCCCAACCCGGGGACGGTGGCGGCGCCTCCAATGGCGTGCGCAACAGGCTTGCGGCTGAGCGTGGCCCGGGCGCGGCATGGCTGAGGGGCGCTCAGCGCCGCAGCTCGCAGACGGGCGAGGAGGGCGAGCCGGCGCGCGTGAGCAACTGGCCGCTCTACTACCTGTTCTGCCTGAGCACCGAGCTGGGCAACGAGCTCTTCTACATACTCTTCTTCCTCTTCCGGATCTGGAACCTGGACCCCCTGGTGGGCCGCAGGCTGGTGATCATCTGGGTGATGGTCATGTACCTGGGCCAGTGCACCAAGGACGTGATCCGCTGGCCGCGGCCCGCCTCGCTGCCCCTGGTCAAGCTGGAGGTGCTGTACAACTCCGAGTACGGCCTGCCCTCTACCCACGCCATGTCCGGCACCACCATCCCCATCACCCTGGTCCTGCTCACCTACGGCCGCTGGCAGTACCCTCTGCTGTACGGCCAGGTGCTCATTCCCTGCTGGAGCTTGCTGGTGTGCCTGAGCAGGATGTATATGGGCATGCACTCCCTGCTGGACATTATTGCTGGCTTCCTATACACCATTTTAATCTTGGCTGTCTTCTATCCGTTTGAGGACCTGATTGACAACTTCAACCAAACTCACAAATATGCTCCATTGATCATCATTGGGCTCCATTTAGCTTTGGGGATCTTATCTTTCACTCTGGACACCTGGAGCAGATCCCAAGGAGACATAGCCCAGATTCTAGGAAGTGGTGCTGGAATTGCATGTGGATCTCATGTTACTCACAGCATGGCTCTAATATTAGATCCTTCTCCAGACATTTTACCTCTGCCTACCCCTCCCATTACTCTGACTGTCTTTGCAAAAGCCATATTGCGGGTCCTCACAGGATTGGGAGTTGTACTCATAGTTAGAAATATAATGAAAAAGATCACCATTCCTTTGGCCTGTAAAATCTTTAAAATACCTTGTGATGATATTCGAAAAGCAAGACAGCATATGGAAGTTGAACTTCCTTATCAATATATTACCTATGGAATGGTTGGTTTCTCTATCACATTTTTAGTTCCCTACATATTTTTGTTTATTGGTATCTCTTGATGGGGAAATATTGTTTATAATAAGAAAGGAGAATATCAGTTACTGACATCTAAAAATATACTGTAAGTAAAAGGTCAGAGTTAGGCTTTGGCAAGTAAATTCTTAAGAGTCAGTACATTTTACCATTGCACATCCAGGCATTGTTTTAGGTAGGCTGATCTATTTAACACTGAGAAAATGCTAAGTTTCCATTTAGAATGTTCATATGTTTGGAGAGTTTTGTGCTTTTATGGATTCAAGTTATATAGATAATATATATTAAGGTACATAATATGCAATGATATATCTAATATATGTTATATATAAAATAATATACCTAAGTTTTTTTAAACAGTAGGGTGCGTATTATAAAATCAAGAATAATAGGCAAACAATTGTGCCTGTGTATTTGGAATTAATACAGGTATGTTGTTACTAACAAGTAATGTTTAGGGCCGGGGATTTAACTCAGTGGTTCTGCTGCCTGCCTCGCAAGCACAAGGACCTAAGTTCGATCCCTAGTACCGAAAAAAAAAAAAGAAACAAAACCTGACCCTAGCACCAGCTGTGTGACGTGGAGTGGTCACTTCCTAACTTCTTGGGCCAGGGACTTAGCTCAGTGGTTCTGCCGCCTGCCTTGCAAGCCACAAGGTCCCGAGTTCAATCCCTGGTACCAAAAAAACCACAACAAATAAGGTTTAGCATTTATTTACTATGGGAGCCATTTCCTAACTGAATTGCATAATTACTAGACCAGAATTCTTATGCTACCACATACTGATTTACTGCCTCTTTTTACACTGCCACCATCTTTCATGTTACACATGAGGTTGAACATGTGGAGCATTTTTAATGGACCAAACTTTAGAATTTGTTTTTGGAGTCCTTATTTTTTTAAGTTCTGTACACTGTATTGAATGTACTTCTTTTGCAACTGTTTTGGGCATCAGTTTAATAAATCAGATACTGAATTTTATTGCTTGCTAATTGTGCCTTTCTGTTGCTGACTTAAACACCATGTATACTGTGATATAAAAGTAAGACTCTAAGTTGCATATACCTAGGCAAATATTTTAAAAATATATGTCAAACTAACAGGGATAGAAGTAAACCACCAGTATGTAACTCTTTAGTCTTTCTTTAGAAAGAAATTGAACTGGGCTAAACTTTCTCACTAATTTATTGGAAAGCTAAATAGATAAATATTTCCATTTTTGTAGGTATTTTTCTGTGTACTGTAAGTTATAGGAACAAGATGTATTTTTGTACATTGTCCTGATTGTTTATACTACAAGTAGATGTTTCCAGTGCATGGAAAGGGTGTTGGAGTTCATAGATGGAACAGTGCACATGCTTCCTATGTAAACAAACTGTTTCTCTAAATTGCTTGGAAAGGATTGGATTTCCCACAATTAACTTTTAATACCTACTTACTAGTTATAAAAGATAAATTGTAAAAAAAAAATCTAAAAGTAGTATTAGTAGTTTACATCCTTTTTTTTCCAACTTTTTATTTTCACAGTGGAAAATTTGAGTATAGTGTGTATAGTATTAAACTATTCTTTTTTCTTTGTGTACCTTTATATTTTGAAGTGTGACTGTAATTAGTTTAACATTAAGTTTATTTGTAGTAAAATTTTCATAAAGAAGAAAATTGCCAGGTGTGGTGGCGCATGCCTGTAATCCCAGCATTCAGGAGGCTGAGACTGGAAGATGGCGGTGAGTTTGAGGCCAGCCTCATCTGCATAGTGAGTTCAAGGTCAGCCTGAATTACTGAATTAAATAGTGAGACTTTGTCTCAAGAAAATAAAATTAAATTAACTTTCCATATAAATGAATTATCAAGTATGATTACTGATTTTAGTTCAATATCTATATGGTTATCCAGAAGTAGCAATTAAGATGTTTCTATTTTGGACAACATAATTATTTGAGCTCATATTTTTATAATCCTGATTGAGAATTTAAGGGCATGGTAATTTTTACCAAAACTGAATCTGATAATTTTAAGTAAAGCAACTGAATTTGGGCTGTTTACTTATTAGTTGAAAAGAAAGCAGGGCACCTAGAAACTTGTCGGTACATTGGAAAATGTGACAACTTTTTGTTCAAAATGTGTAATGAATTGAATTTTAAGAATTGTTTCCCAAAATCTGGGTCTGTGCTAGCCTACTGATTTTTGTCTAGCTTAAAAAGTACTTGAAATTACTATTTCTTGGTGTTTTGTTACTTCCTGTCCTATGACAGTTCTATGCTAAATGTATTTTAAAATAAAAGTCAAATTCAAGAAAAAAAAAGTATTTTAAGTTGCTCCAAGGTTTGTATCATTCTTAGTATTCATTATCCCACCTGGTGCCCACTTACATGCCTGTTGACATCTAGCTGCTAAGAAACATAATCGGAGTCTCAGAAAAGATGAATGCAATCCTTTTCCTCATTTGTCAGGAGGTTTTAATAGAATCCCTTAGAATTTCCAGACTATTACACTTTGCATTCTCAAAATCACAAATATCAGTTCTCATAATATTTATGAAACTACATGAACTATAATTTTAACAACATTTTTTACTGAAGCCTAAATAACTTGAGACTTACAAAGACTTATCCCTCTACTCACCTCCCAACACACAGTTTAGCAAAAGTAAATCAAATGGCTTTCTAATCAGTCTGTTCTGTAAGTTTGATAAACATGAATCCCATCCACCGAAGCCTAATCATTATTCAGTTCTTGAGTCTACAAAGCTGTGTGTGAGACTTTTCATCTCAGGTCACAATTACAAGGTTATCGCCACACTGTAGGTCTTGGCTAGAACCCTCCTAATCATCCTTGGCAATTAGAATACCTCTCATTATGTTGTATGGCAATCCATATAATATGACCAAAAAAATAGAATAGATGAAAGTAGTATAAATTCCTGTTATTTTTACCCTGGAGTATTTAAAATTCAAATCCCATTTAGATACTGATCCTAGAGATTAAGTTAAAATAACAATTTTATATTAGCATAAGTCAGCCAAAACAATCAAATGAGGAAAACTCACTAGTAGTGGATTATCTTCTTTCTCCAAAATATCCTCTGGCCCCCCCTGTAGGATTGAGCTTCCTGTCCCCCAATCTGGGTGTGGCCATGAAATCAGCTTTCCAAATGGAACATGAAGGAAAAGGCAGAAGCTACATGTGAACAAAAGCTTTCAGAGCCACTAGGGTTTCTGCAATTCCTCTTTCCTCCTACCTTAAGTACGGGAAATGATCAATCCGAGGGAAGATAAGGGACAAAGCTGAGTGTGACATGTCACGTGGGCAAGAGATCTACCTTGTTTGGTGTCTCTAGGAGTTTGCTGTTGTTACTGTGACATAACCAGCTTAAACTGGCTCATTAAAAAACTAGAACTCAAAATGAAGTTCTGCCATAACAAAAATTCTGAAATATATGATATTGGATTCAAGGCAAGGTAGTGAGATGAGAAATTGTATTGGTAAGGTAGCTGATGAATGGCTTAATAAAACTATTCCCTGCAATAACTTGAAAGATATTCATGTAAGAATAAGCTTGAGAAGAGGCTGGAAACCTAACATTAGCAGTGTGAACAGACTGTCATTGACTGAATTTGACAAAGTATTACAAGAAAAATTATGAACTCTAGAGTTTGCTGGTTTGTAAAACAAAAAAAATGGAAGGCAAAAGGAAGTGTCCATAAATGTCAGGTCTTGCAAGTTTGGAGACTTAACCAATTCTCATTTCCAACTGACCAAAGACAATACACATACGGTTTTTCATGACAAAGGATGATTTTTTTAAAAACAGCCTAACTAGAAGGACCAAATCTTGGGGGTGATTGTCAACCTTTTTTTTCAACCTTTAAGTCATTTCAGATGGCTCCCAATAAATCCTTTCAGTGAGATCAAATCCCTCAGAGTGGAAAAGAAATTGGTTTCCTGGAGCCACTGAAAAAGCTCACAGTGTAAAGAGATGGGCATATTTCAAAAAGAACTGTGGGTAAATCAAATGACACATGGAGCTGACCAGAAATACATAAAAAGCTGATTAAAGTTTTGAGAGCTGCATCAAATATTCACAGCAATCCTTGGACCATCAACCTAATTGGGCTAGAAGAAAAACAGCTCCAGAGAACTTGCTCTCCACTATCATCTTCATATGTGACCAAGAAGGAGTTTACAAAAGAAATTTCCCAAGGCCATAGCCAACAGCCCAAGACAACAGTTCGGGGAGCTCCACCAAGAGTGAACCATAATCCAGACTTTCCCACTCCACTGCCTGTCCAGTAGAATTTAATGACTGTTATGGACATGGGGCTGCTGCACTCAGCCCAGGCTCGCTCTTTCAGGAAAGGAGTGCCCGCTGCAGTTTCCCTGCCCTAACTGTCCCACTGCATGCTGGAAACACAGGTTCTAGTAGTTTGTCCTTTAAGCTCATAGGTGTCCTGATCCAGATGAAAAACATCCAGACCCACAGCTGACACTTTGATCATGATCCTCTGATTGAATACATTTTGAGTTCTCTGTCTTGAAGAGGCATTTGTGTGCAGGAGGAAAGGAAGTGAACATTTATGAGTAAGAAAACAGTGGTATGCACGTGGTATGACATCCTGGGTATCAGTCCTCTCCCCACATGGCTGTCACTGGGGCTCTACCACATTACTTGGTAGACAACTGAGTGCCCATTACTGAAACAAGCCCGAATAAGCCCAAAGGATCCAAGTGAGTGAGTACATGCCAAGCAGAGAAGAAAGGGTTCTAGGCAAGAGGCGGGAAGTTCACTGCCCCCATGATTGGCTCAGCCTCCTATAGAACAGGAATTAGGGTCAGTTCCCTTTGGTGAACAAAGAGATTCTAGAAAAGAGGTGGCAAAGCTTTCTATAGTTCAGTCATTTACGGAAAAATGAAGAAAACTCCAACTTACCTGGGGCCTGGCTTTTAGGAATGAACTAGTTGTTCCCTTTTCTCCTGGGTATCTCTCTGGAGCAGGCTCCTGAGAAGTGACAGCTGGAAGGTAAAAACAGGCACATGGGAGGGTAAGCCTTATGGCATGTATGGCTTCCAGACTCCCCAAGCTAGAGACCCCTACACAGGTCTGAGGGTCACCTCCATGGTTCTAGGAGCACAGATGGATCAAAGGGAACCAAGAGCCAGCTTCTAGCCTGCCTACATCTGAGAGAAGGGCCCCTGTACACAGCTGCATGAGGCTCCTACTTGCCCAGGAGCCCACAGAGGTTAGTGGAATGTGACCAGCCTGGCCACTCCCCTGGAGAGTTACTTACTGGGCCTTCTGAATAGGTGTTTTGGAAATACAGACATGGAGAAGCGCTTCAGTGAACTTTAAATCTACTTTGCAGATATAAGACAGGTTTACAACTACAGACATTTTCTACATGTATGGATTCCAATGATCTTGTTAAACTCTGGTTTGAGACTTAAGGCTCTGGTTTACTGAATGTGGGGTACGGTTTGAGAATCTGCATTTCTAGAGAGCTTCCCCATGCCCATGCTGCTGGCCATGGGCCACACTGAGAAGCAAGGACACAAAGACCACAAGGAAAATTTGGTCCAATTCTTCCACTGGCCATTTTTGTGACCTTGAGCATGCATGATGAAGAATGAACAAAGTAAAATGCACAACTGGCAAAGGATAGGGCATTACAAACTTAGAAAGGAATGGCTTAAAACCTCCAGGTCACCTGGATTGCCCTGACCCCAACACTGGGGGCAGGGGACTCACAGAAGGTGCTACCACTACATTGCTGACCTTGCACACTGCTCAGCCAGAAGAAATGGAATTATTTTATTAATGAAATGATTAAGAAAGTGGTGACAAAGCTGCAAATGGCCCTACCATCCTCCGATCTATGCCCAAGGGCCACTTCCTCTCCGGTTTGTTTAGCTCCTCTCCTGCTCTGCCCATTCTGCTCCCATCTCTAGGACAAGTCTTCCAGATCAGCTACAGTCCATGGTTCCTGGGACTTCAGCTTCTTAGGTCTGGATGATCAGGAATCGCCACAGAAAATGCAGGCTCAGGCTGTGCCCCTTAGAAGCATTCGCCAGACTCTTCCTGGGGGACCCCTCCTCCTAGGCCCAGTGCTAACTTCCCAGGAGGACACTGAACCTCTGCACGCTCCAGAGCCAAACCTGATGCTGTGGTCTCCATAGCGGGGGCTAAGGGGCGGCGTCCTCCCTCTAGGTCCAAATTTCTGCCTTCCTGGCGCAGCCCTGCGGTCCTCCGGATGGTTCAGGGAAGGGGGCAAACTCTGGGCCGCCTGGATGACACGGGGCATCCCCGCTGGGCACGGAGAGGTCCTCAGACCGCAGGGCCCCGAGCAGGACCAACAACAAATCTGGACGGACGACAGGGCCCAGAACGCCGCTGCCCGGGCCACGCGCTCCTTCCGCTCCAGAGCGCAATCTCAGACCCCGAGAGCCTGGCCTCCTCCCACGGCCTCGCTCGGCCGCCCCACTCCTATGGCACTCAGTTCTCGCGCCCATTTACACCCGCGGCGGGCTCACGCCACCAGGAGACACCTGCTACACTGGCACCCAGGGATCCTCACTGCCGGCGTACTGTCAGTTCCCAAGCGCGCCTGCACTCTGGGGCCTGTGCCTGCACCCTAGCCACCTGCTGCTGCTCCCCTAGCGGCAGGGGCGCTTGTGGGCCGGCTCAGAGGCGTTCAGCTAGGAAATAGAAGCCTTTCTTTCTCCGTAGCAAGTGCCTTTGGTAGCTGGGTCCCATGGCCCACTTTGGGGCAGACTTTACAGAAGCCACTGACATTTTGTTAAAAAGACAGAAAATCTGTTTCTTACAAGATGCCCAGTGCTGGTGGTGCAACGGTGGTGCAGTGATAGATGCCTCTGTTATACAGGCTGCTGTCTCCTTCTGCCTTCTCCCGCTACCCACAGTTTTCAGTTCAGCAAAGGGTGATAGTGAAGAGAGCACTTTAGACTCCCTCGAGAAATCGTTATCATTTAGGACCCAAGAGAAATGGAGAAACGGCCTGGTATGGTTTGAATGTGTGTCTTCCCCAAATTTAATACATTGAAAACTAATTCTTGGACCGGGGATTTAGCTCAGTGGTTTCACCGCCTGCTGCGGAAGCGCAAGGACCCGAGTTCTATGCCCGGTACCAAAAAAAAAAAAAAAAGAAAGAAAGAAAAGAAAAGAAAAGAAAAAGAAAACTAATTCTTGAGCCGAAAGTGGCGGCTCATGCTTATAATCTTAGCACCCAGGAGGTTGAGGCAGGAGGAGCCAACCTGAGCTACATAGTGAGTGCAAGGCCAGTCTGAACTACATAGTGAGACCTCTTCAAAAGAAAAAAACTCTCAAAGTGATGGAATTAAGAAGTTCTTTGTTATTTATTTGGAGGTGATTGATTAGGTTTGTGTGGGCTCATGAAGGGATTAATAACCTTGTAAAAAAAAAAAAAAAAACAAGGCCTGAGGGAGCTTGTTAGCTCCCTTCCCCCTACTACCATAGGACCCAATGAAGGAACCATCAATGAGGAAGGGGCTTTGACCAGATCCTGAATCTGCTGGCACCTTGGTCTTGGATTTCCTAGCCTTCAGAACTATAAGCAATAAATGTCTGTTATTTATAAATTACCCAGCCAAAGGTATTTTGTTAACCGTCCCAAGAGCCTAAAACACAATCTGAGCATTGAAAGCGTGGTTTTCTTCCTTAGAGAGGGGAGATTTGTGAGGACAGAGCAGTTGCTTTACAACCCTGTTTAGGGGTTCCAAGCAAATAATTCACAAAATCAAGGCAAAAGGGCTATTGTCCTTTCTTGCTTTTTCAGTCTGTTTCATTTTTCTTTGAGGCTAGGTCATAAAAGGCATGCAGCTTCTGACTGGTACACTGAGACACTCTTGGATCCCTGAGTTGACCTGTAAGAAGTCTAACTCAGTGCTCGCTTCAGCAGCACATATATTAAAATTAGAATGATACAGAGAAGATTAGCATGGCCCCTGCACAAGGATGACACGCAAATTCATGAGGCATTCCATATATTTGAGGAATTGGGATTTGGTCTCTTTGACTGATTACCAAAAAGCAAACTACTCAGCCTGCCTGACTGGCAAAACAAGAAATAAGGGCATAATTTTAAAAAGAAGAAGGAGAAGGAGAAGAAGAAGCTTGATTACTCTGCAGCCACCATGCTGTAAGCAAGTCCAAGCACAAAGAGAGGCTATAAGTGGGGACTCAAGCCGTGGATACCAATCCAGGTGGCAGACACAGCTCTCCCAACTCAAGAGTCCAGAAATCATGAAGCAGAAACAAGCCACCCTTGCTGTTCCCTGTCCAAGTTCCTGACCCACAAAATTTATTTGCCTAATGAATTTGTTGTTTTTAGCCACAGAGTTTGAAGAGGTTCATTTGACAGCAGCAGCGAGCCATAACATTCTGCAGTTTGGCAGACTCCTATCTAGAGGGCCCAGGAGACACCTGTTTTATCATAAACAACAATGTCTGCCACTTCTTGGCTATTTAGCTTCCACATACTCTTCCTAACTCTTAAGTGAAAATCAGCAAAAATTCTCTTAATCTTCCTAGCAACAAGGAAAATTAACAGTTCCAACAACCTTCCTGGTTGTAAAAACTAAAAATGTTGAAAAATTATAAACATCTTTATAAATAAGTACACTAGTGATCAGGCATAAAAGGAAAGACCTTGAAAAGATTTTTTAAATAAAGGAACAGTAAGGACTCTGCTGGTGCAATTACTGAACTTACACAATAGAATTAATAGTAAGAATGGATGGATTTGAAGGTATAAAGAACATGGTGGGAACATCTGAGGCTGAGCCTTAAAAGATCTGTAGGTTCAGCCAGGTGTGGTGGTGCACTCCTGAAATCCTAGCACTCTGGGAGGCCAAGGCAGGAAGATCTCAAGTTCAAGCCAGCCTGAGAAACTTAGCAAATTAGTGAGATGCTGTTTCAAAATGAAAAATAAAAAAGGAGCTGAGATTGTAGCTAAGTGTGAAGGCCTTAGGTCTGTTGCTTCTTCATTCACGCCTTGGAATGTTCCCCTCAAACCATGTTGTCAGAAGCCCCAGTGGAAGAGAACTGTTATCCTGCCAACAACTCACATGAAGTCCCCCACTGGCAGCCAGCACCAACTGGCCACTCGAGTACGGACATGTCAGATCTTTCAGCCACCCCTGCAGTCCAGCTAACACCATGTGAAGCAGGATTACTGCCTCATCTACACAAAATTGAAAAATAATAAATTATTGTTTTAAAATGAATACATAAAGTGTGAGCTGGGGTCCTGAGAAGTGAGAAGCAAACCTGACTTTTACACTGGTAAGTTCTACAGAACACACATACACTTCCACTTTGACCTGAGATAATAAAGCCTAGGACCTGCCAATGTGTGGGGAACTCTAGAAGGTAACCTGTTTAGGACCCCAGCCTTTCCTCTCTCAGTATAAGGCTAGGTGAATAATAATAATCATCATCATCAGCAGCAGCAGCAGCAGCAGCAGCATATGAGACCAGCAAGAAAATATACATCTTAGATGTTGTGAATTTAATGAAATTTTAATCCTTCAGGAAGGTCCAACCCAGTGCAGTACAAAATCTGCCACAACATAACATCAAGGCACTGTCCTAAACCTTATCCACCAGCCATTCATCTTGCTACTAATTCTTTGTATTTTATCATCTAGTCTATATCTTTGCATGTGCTATTCTCTGCATAGATTGCACTTTTTCTTAACAATGTAACTGCTCAAATGTACCAGCTATAGGAAGTATTTTCTTAACAATGTAATTGTTTATTTTGAAATGTAACAGTTATAGGGAGGTTTTCCACCTTTCCTCGCCATGGTTAATTGCTTCCCCCATTGTACCCCTGTAGTTATTGAACATACTACACTGCCGTAATTTCATGTTTTGATCTTTCCACTGGGCCATGAGTTCATTTAGGGCAGTAATCCTGTCTTGTTCCTTTTTGTAACATACTTGCTTATAGAAGGAAATTTTTTGAGTGAAAATGTAGACTTGTTCTTGAAACATTTTATTACATTCTTTGTAATTTTCAATCTCAATGGTTCTTAGCTTCACCTGCATATTAGAATCACCAGAGGATCTTTACAAACTCTCGATCTTCAGTGAGCCCCAGACATCATTATGTCTCCACCTTTCCAAATGATTCCAGCTGCAGCCAAGGTTGAGAATTCCTGCCATGTCTCTGGCCAGGGCCCTTTCAGCAACACCAAGAAAGGCAGGATGGTGTGTGCTCGGACTGTTGGAAGTCATTCCCCCCTGCCCAATTAAGTACACACCGGATCCTTCTATTCTTCCGGTGCACATATCGCACAGACCCTTCCTCAGAACCAAACTCCACGTCTCTCTGGCCAAAATGCCTTTTCCAAGGCCCGAAGGCTCGAGTAACTTGGATCCTCCCTAGGAATAGGGAGGAGACAGTAGGATCAGGGAGACGAGTTTCCTTCGGACAGCCCTACAATTGGAGGAATGGAGCAGTGTGACATCACACGTAGGCAGTACTTCAGAAAGACCTTAAACCTCCCAGGCATGACCACTCCCTCTGCCCACTAAAGAGACTATACAGTCTTGTCCTACCGGGTTCAGCACCACTAGTTTTTCTCAGGAGTGTACGCCTGCGCAGATTTTTAACGTCATTTTGAAGCGAGCCGGGGGCAGAGACTTCTGGGAAACGGAGTCCATGAGAAGGCGGTGCAAAGACTGGGCGCGCGGCGGCCAAAGACCTCTGCGCAAGCGCATTGTTTTTCCAACCTAAAGCGGCGCCGTCTTTCCAGGTCCCAGCGCTCTGTGCAGGAGGTGAGGGTTTCGGATCTGCCTTCGAGGAGCCGAGTGAGCACAGCGGCCGAAAGAAGGGGACTTTGGGGACGTGGTGGAGGTGCTGTGGGAGCAGAACGGGGTGACGCGGGCGGACCCAGCCTACAGAGGGTGTGTGGCGACGCCCCGGCTCCGAGGGGTGTGGAGGGAAAGTTGTCCCCCGGCGTGCTCTTGTGTTCCGTGGGGTGTGGGCACTGTTGGCATGGGCTTACGGTGTGCCCGCATCGCATGCCAGATCCCGGGCTTTCAGGTTGGAAGTCTGAGGGCTGTTCCTTCTTCCCGTGTTGTGTGCTTGCTGAACGTGGGTGGAAATGACAGTCTGTGTTGCCACCCACTCCGGTCCCACCCTTCTACCCAGAAAAGCGCCCCACACCGCCTCATTTAGCTCCCTGCCTTGGGCCTCCGTGCGAGCGCAGCATAGGATTTGATGGAGGAGGATGGGAGGCTAAAGAAGTAGTGAAGCGATAGGCAGATCTGAAAGGGAGATGTTTTTATGGCGTGCAGTGTCGAGGAATAACGAAAGAAAAGGGGGAAGAAATATAACTGAGGCCAGGGCATAGAATCTCGAGATAAGACCCAGCCATCAGGGTGGATTGTATGTGCCCGACCCGTACACTGCCTCGAATAGAAATTTCCTTATAGTTACTCAAGAGGTCACATTTAGGAGAGAGTGGACGAAACCAATTGCAGGGAATAAAATAAGTGAGGAATGTGTAATAGTTCTGAAGCAGGCTATTTAGGACCTTGAATTTTGATGGTGTTTGTGGTAGGGAAAGGTT